CAGATGCTCCCAACAGATGTGCTCACAAAATGCAAAGGAAAAGATCGTTCTTCACTGAGGAACATTTCCAACGAGACACTTGTTTAAATCTAACAATCGCAGTGCAGGGACAATGCTTGCTCAGGTTGCAGCACCAGCATCCAAAAACATCTGGTTTTGTTGGATTTATAGTTCAGCCACAAAACTTATCTAGGATGCAGCTGAAAAGGAACATAAGCAGAGGAGCAGTGTAGTGTTTAGATTCCTGTACCTGTATTAGACCATATCCAGTGTGACACTAAACATATCTGTGTTGATGTAAGGAACAAAAAGCTTTTTGTTTTTACTTTTGCAATATTCACTACTTGTTAACTGGCTGTAACTGGTAGTTCTGGGTTCGGGCCCCACCTGGGACCTTTCTGTGTGGAATTTGCATGTTCTCCCCGTGCTTGTGTGGGTTCTCTCCGGGTACTCCGGCTTCCTCCCACAGTCCAAAAGACATGCAGCTTAGGTTGATTGGTGTCTCTAAATTGCCCATAGGAGTGCATGTGTGTGGTTGTTCGTCTATGTGTTAGCCCTGTGATGGATTGGCGACTTGTCCAGGGTGCACCCCGCCTTCGCCCGATTGCCGGCCGGGATTGCCCCCCCCCTCCCCCCGTGACCCCGTTCAGGGACTAAGTGGTAGAAAATGAATGAATGAATGAATAACTGGCTTCTAGGATCTGTGGATCACTGAAGTATCAACAGCAACTATGAAAGAGGAATCCATAGTTTCCAACTTGGAAATATTTCTATAATCCTTCTTTAGTTGTCTCCCCTCGGCTGGAACCACTGAGGATTTTTGGAAGTTTCTGCTTCACTCAGTCAAATCTGGTCACAATAGGAAGTGAAATTCATCTGTGTGTTTTTGTGAAATGTAGTTCTAGAAGCTCGGTGATATAGTGACTACTGACAGGACAATAGGTTCAGACAGCTTATTCAAGAGATATGCAGTATTTGTCCCAATCACTCATGTCTTATGACTGTCTTCAAATCATTTCTCATTTGTGCAGAGGGTTATACTCCAACAGGAGTATATAAAATTTGTAAATGTTTGTGTGGATTAAAACTATCATTCTTACAAAATGGCTGCACTTGAATGCCTCCCAAGTTTTCTCCATTTACTCAGTCATTCAAACTCTGGCCAGGAGACAGTACAGCCAGTCTGTCTGTCCCTGCCATCTTCTCTGTCTTCATCTTGCCTCTTTGTCTTTGTCTTACTCTCCTCTCCCACCCTTCTTCTCCTCTCTCTTCATCTCCCCTCTAACTCTCTCCCACTCTTGATTCAACCAGGCAAAAGACCAGAAATAATAGGAGACAGGAAAGAAAACTCCACAGCGCCTGAATACGTGGGGCCAAGAACCAAGCCCAGTGGCCTTCTTCTCTCTCTTCTCCTAACCCTCTAATTTTGCACTTATTTTTGGATGAGAGTTTACTGAGCTCAAGTCTCAGTGTCATGCGAAAAGCCTGGGACATTCACTAGGTGCCTTCTCCACACATTGTCTTACTTGTCTGAGTCTTTAATTCCAGTCATTGTTGTGTTGGAGATCAGTCTAGGATCGGGAAGGGGAATATGGAAACTTAGACTAGAATAAAAATGAATGTATGCATTATTCTTCTACATAACAAGAGGGGTAGTATCAAAATAGTCTGCCAAATGAGAGGCTGACCAGATCAGGAAAATAAGGTGCCAGCAGGGTGCTATTCTGTTTTTATTTGACATTTTAGAAGATGCAGTTAAGTGCAGAATTGTAGAGGGTAATTCAGCCTCTGGTAAAAATGACAGAATCTGTATACAGATCAGTAAGTTCACCTGGTTTCAGAACTATCCAGGTGTCCATGTAAGTGCATGCAGAGGTGCACAGAAGGGAGTAAAAAATATATAGAGTTCAGTTTTAATGACGGCACGTGGCTTCAGTGGGTGTGGCCCAGGGTTTTCCTCTCACAGGAAGTGAATAATGGGGGGAAGTGAGTGAACTGTCAGTGAATGATAATTACTTTAATTTCACTGGCCAAGCTCAGCAGCTAATTTTTGACTGCTTTTTGACTGCTTTTTATACAGAAACAGACCATGTTGTAGTAGTACTCAAGTCCATGACTCAGGCTACAAGTGAGTCCTGATTTTAAGGATTTGTGCCTTGACCCATCGAAACGTTCACTCCGCCTCCCGAGTCAGACTCAGGTAATGGGGGCTCGACTCGAACTGTTCTTTGGTGACTCAGACTCGAATACTTGGGACTCAAGACTCTGTATTAATGACTGGACTACAACACTGAAAACTGAACATAGTGTCTGAAATTGCTTCTGCCATGAAAAGTGTTGCCTGATTTAAAAAGCTAACAATGAATTAAAATAACTAACAAATCCTGTCTGATGTCACATTCACCCCCTCAACAACATGTACCACAGCCTCAAAATGTTAAGAAATGCTATATGTACATGTTCAGTAACCAGGCTCAATAACATGCATCATATCTCACAACAGATCACTTTTTTTAGCAATATCAGTCATATCAACATATAGCTGAAAGACTGTCATGGCCGCCTCACTGCACTTAGTGCTGACCACTCCAAACGCATACCTTTCACCTACTTTCAGTGCCCAAATCCATACAATTCTATATGCCTACATTTAGAAATATCATTAGTATAATTTGCACAACACAGTCCAAACACACGCCCCTCCAGCCACTCCACCATCTTCCATACTTCCTCTCCAACCACCATCTGAAAGCTGTTAGTCCTGCAGTTTGGGGGTGAGTCAGGAGGCAAGCCTGAAATGCAGCTCCTCCTCCAGCAGCACCAGTGATTTCTAAACATGTGGCTTGCACCAGGAAAACTCGTCAGGCATGAAAATTCTTCTCCTAACACCTCCACAGTAGAATCTCACCATGGCAAAAACGTATGCAGTGGCAGGAAAAGAAACACTTAACACTGCAGTAACAATCAGAAAAAGATGCAATTCTGGCAGAACTGGGAGCCTCAATAAGACACAACTAACGACAATTGATCACAAGTTTGACATGAACTAGGACAGAGGGGAATTATTTAAACATGTGAATATTTCTGTTATCTTCTCTGCATCTCTCTCAACATTTGATACAATAATATTATAAGACTTCATCAAGGAGAATATATCAAAGTATTACAAAGGAATGACTCGGCCTGCTTCCTCTTTCCATTTTGGTAAAACACACAGGGGAACAGACATAACAAGCAAGAATGACTGTCACTACTGCAAGTAATTACACACAGTCTATCACAGAAGTAAAAGGCAAAACGAAGTAAAAACTGCTAAAGGAGATGGCATTCTCAAAGCCTCTGCAGGACCAGACAGGGTCTGACTTATCAATAACTATAATATTTATGCTGAACACAAAGACATCTGCCAGTACTAATTTTGTTTTCTTAAGGATCCCTTTGCAAAGTGAGGACAATTGCAAAGGGAAAAAGAGGAAGCATTTAACATGGCAACTGCTCATGAAAAAGTAGGTGAAAATAAGGGAGGAAGAGTAAAGAGGAGAACTAAGGCTGCTGTGGGCATTTAAATGGCTCAAGTCATATACGCTGCCTCTGCTAAACTGTGGGTTAAGAGAAGTCATTTTTGCTTGAGATGGATGTTAGGGGAGGGAGAACAGACCACATTGCATTCTTCAGTACTGAGGTCACTTTTTTCTTCTCAACCGTTCTGAAATACTCAGCAAACTTTGGGCTGGACTGTGAGTTCGATCTAATGCACTCCTGAGAGATCTCTTGCACATGCTCAGGAGCGACTTTTCCTTCTTGTGTTTCCTCTTTGTGAAACAGACAGAATTTCCCAAAAACATCACGACAGAATAATTAACAGAGAAGCTGAACTGGGTGCTGGGATGGTGTTATGAAAACCTGATTAGACTCCATCCATCCATCATCATGTCAGACTTCAGGTTATGAGGAAAGAAGGTGAACTATAATAACTTTGTTCAGACTGCTGTGACCAAATCTTAGGAGGTTTTCAAATCATAGACTGTCTAGGACTATCTGAACAGAAAAAAATACACCATGAAACTTCTTCAGAGACCAATACTACATGATGCAATTTAGTGAAAAAGAAATTAGCTCATATAAAAATGATATATTATTTGAAAAAATTGGGTCCAACTGTAACAATTCACCCACAATTATTCATGCACCAGGACGACCAATGTTAAATTGTATTACTATGAAAACGTCTCTATGCTGCAGAACTCTTTTCACTGTCACAATGTATATGCAACTGGTCAAAATCCAAGGTCTCAGAACTAAGTGACAAAACACAGTATTTATTATTGATTTCTATATCACCTTGATTTCACATGTAATATTTGTAATCATCGTGCTTGCACATGTCACTACATGTCACTATTAGCAGCACCATAAGCAGTAAGCTAGTTTGGAAGATAGAAGTGCCTATGTTCAGTGGCTGGAGATATTGTGCAGGTAGTGGTGGAACTCCACTGGGAAAAAAGATGACCTCAAAGCTCCTGTAACTTACTAAGACAGCACAACTAGGCACATTTTGAGGTGAAAGAACACATCTGTGGGGTGTAGCTGAAAAGCAATATAGCGAGTAGTGTAATGAGTTACTGTGACTACCATCCTCACTGACTCCAGCTAGAGTCTTTGCATCCTTCACTGCCACGTGCTGAGGTAATGTCAAGCACTGGGGACTTGGGGCCTTAAAAAACAACACTGACAGAAAGTAAACAAAGGCAAAAAAAAAAAAAAGTTACTTTCAGGTAATACTGTTCCATGGCCTTGTAAAAGGATGAGCAAGATGTTCCACTAGAATCACAGTATACAGGCTATAGGATTTAATATTCAGCTAATAAGGTCTGTCTAGTTTTAATAAAACACCAATGGTTTTCTATTTTTCCAACAATTCTGTTGAAAAGTGATTATGAAACTAGCTGAACATTTTCAGAGGCTCACAGTGTTTCTCTCCAGCATATGATTAAACTTACATTTGATTTCGTCACATATGGTGCACAGAGGAAGATTGCTGGTGCACGGCTGTGTCCTCCTTGAGAGTGACGTGCTGCAAAGAGAAACACAAAAGTAGAAAATAAGGAAACTATTTTCACCAAAGTGTTGTTAATGTGACAAACAAGAACATAAGAGAGGGGAGGGCTAATTTTCCCATTACTAACCATTTCAGTCACTGTTTAGTGCAATGGTGTTCTTTACCTCTCACAGATTATAGTTCAATGAGGATAATGCACTCGTTTTTCATAAAAAATGCATGTTAAAACTTTTTTTAATGTACATTGGAAAGACCTACATATAAAATACATTATTTTTACATGACATTGATTTAATAAAATTTTTAAAAACATTTATATTATATTTTACATTTTGAAATCTTTTCTTTTTATGAAGTGATGCTGATAAATTAACATGAGACACCTCTTATGTTCAGTATGAACAGTATCTTAATATACACATGCAGGGGGAGGTTGCAAATATGTGAAATTAACCATTTTCATTATATATATCGATTACACCTATTAAGCCAAACAGAAGAAGCTTCATACCAATAAAATACTTTTAACTATTGTTTTTATTTTTAATTAATTTAAACTTAATTTTAACTTTACAATGGGTCAATTTGACCTGCAACATAACAAGAGGGTTAAACCTCCACCGCCTTCTGTCACGACTGGTTGGGGTGAGTGGATAGAGGAGAGAGAAAAGAAGAAAAGCAACGAGACACAACAAACAATCAAACACTGGGCAGGTTGATGTGGCCGGTGACTACTCATCAGAAACATAGAGCTCCAGAGCCAGGGCAACCTGCAGAAAGGTACAGGGAGAGAGAGAGGACACACTACAGGAAAGAGGAGACACACAGTTAGTGATGTGTAAGAGGAAAGGAGAGGAGAGGGGAGGAGAGGAGAGGAGAGGAGGAGAGAAACTCAGAGCATCATGGGCCCCCCAGCAGCCTAGGCTTATAGCAACATAACTAAGGGAAGGCTCAGGGTCACCTGATCCAGCCCTAACTATAAGCTTTATCAAAAAGTATAGTTTTAAGTCTAATCTTAAAGGTAGTAACTTCTGCTCGTTTGCTTTTGGGGGAGAAACACTTCCAAGATGCTGATAGCATGGCATTTTTTATCTGTGTCTGGGACAGACAAAACAGGACCAACTGATGCTAACCAGTCAAGTGGCCAAAAACAGGTTAACATTAATATTCATCAGTTATTTCAACAATAAATATAACCACAAGTCATCTGAACAGAAACACTGTAAACATGTCGTCATGTATTCAGAGAGGTAGTAAGGTAATAAGACATTCCTGTGCTTAAAATGTTTGGTCAGAATATCACTGTTGTAGCTGTGTAAAAACTAGGATGTTGTTAATTTTTCTTTTTGGGGCTGAGGGGAGAGTATGAGTCATCCAACAGATGGGGATTTTTTTCACTACAAAGTTACAGGCTTCCTTATTTCTATTTCCACTGTGTCTTAGTTTAAGGTAACTGCCTAGCTCTTCTGCCTCTTTCTCTGTCTCTAGAAATGATGGAGCTTCAGTACAGATACTAAAACTTCCACTTTCTATTTGAATCCAGTGCCACCTCTTACTCATGTATATTTATCTTGCCTTTCCTAGTATGTCTCTTCTGTACTGTCTTTTTCCTTTTCCTGTTCTTAGACTCAGCTGCACCTCCTACCCACAACCTTCCTCACATGTGAACATCACCATGGGCTGCAGTATTTATGAGTGCTTGCAGAGGGGCGGCAACGCAGCTGGAGTAACGCCATTTCCAGATGAGATCTCTGAGTTCATTTCCCCAAATCATTACTCGCAAACTTGCTTTGTGATAGACTTTAGCCTCGAAGCATGGCTGTTAGACACTCGTCACATGTTTAAAATCCACCACTGGTTGTACAGAGAAGGAATCAAAGTGCTCAGACTCAGGAATTTGCAAAAACATAGCACTGTAAGGTTGGCTACAAAAAACAGCAGATAATTTCTATAATGTGGCTCTTCCTAAAACAACTTTAGCCTTTGTTAGGCACACCAATGTGCTATTGCACTGACTAACTTTCCCAAATGGTGAGAAACACCGGTGTCAAAGCACCTTGAATAGACTGCAAGAGAGCTGGAAACTACATTCAGAAAGGAATGGCGAAGAAAGCCTTTAGACACAAATCATGCATTTCTCCTCAGATGAACATTTAGAACACCACTGATTAGAAAAAATATATAAACATTTAAGTTCCTGACATGAATCCAGCTGGTAGACACGCAGATAAAAATTTGTACCTTTTTCATTCTTGTGTCTCCCATTGAGAATAAAATATTCCACCCCAACATCACTGTTTTACTATATCTTGAATACTATATTTTGTCTTGTTCTTAGATATTTTGATTTGTTCTTGATTGTCTCTCAAATATATTCTGTTTGGTTTTAGGTACTTTGGAACTTGTTTCTCAAGATATGTGTGTGGTGTTTGTTCTTATGGTGTTTTGTTACTGCTCTTTATTGCTGCTGGAACACAGTAATTTCCCCATTGTGGGATCAATAAAGTCCTGTCTACCTACCTACCTACCTGTTTTAATTCCCATCTGCCTGCATTTCAACAGGCTTTGCCTCAGTTTGAGCTATCGTGGCTGGGGAGACATGACACCCACATACACAGTGGGGCTGTATGGTTTTTGTCTAGTGGCCTATGACGTTCCACCACCATAAACATCACCAGATGAGGGGATAGTGATTCTCTACTTCAATATATTACCACTGTAAAGTCTAAGGACAAGTCATTTATTCTGGAGAACATGTGACGTTAGCAATGAGTTGCTGCAGAACTGTAAAAAAATGTTCAAATCTGCAAAGGATTACACCTTTCCTCCAAAGATTCTACTTTATTAAATATTAGGAGCAACCCTTGAGGTAAACGTCTCACTGTCCATTACACTCCTTTTCTCTCTCCCTGCTTTTAGCGGTGCCACGCTCGCCAGCAGTCTTGCACATTATCTGAAGTCAGGGAAGGATCCAGTCATATTTTCCATCCACTCACTGTGTCTGACTGGATGTCTGTGCTGGTGGGGGAGTGAAAGGATGGGAGGAAAGAAAGCAGGCAGGGGAGAAAGAGGGAGGGATGGAGAGCTAGTGTTTGGATCGGGGGCTGGGACAGCGGACAAAGCCAGATGCAGAGTTGAGAAGAAAACCAGACAAAGAAATGGGGAGAAAGGCCTCTTCTGACATTTGTGTCCTGTGAGAGAAACAAAGCTGATAGATAACTGCACAGCACATCCAAACCCCCCCAAAAACTCAAGCCATAAGGAAAACAGCAATCTGATGTCCTAATCAAAACATGGGCATTTAACATTAAGCTGTCAATGGATGCCCGTGAAGGCAGTTTTATTGTGGCGGTGGCTATGGGCCTGCAGGTCCCCAGCATTTTCTCTCACGCCCCAGAGAGAAAGTGACGTGTCACGCTGGGTGGAGCTCGTGAGAGGCTGGATTTGTTAAGCAGCTGAGCTCTAGTTTCAAACCAGTTGGAATCATTCAAGTGTTTTGGCATCCTTTTGCTCCTAAACATACCCTCCACCCTCCGTCCAGTCCATATGCTAAGCTGAACTGTTTGACGGCTTTATACTTAATGGACAGCCATGACAGTGGCATCATTCTTTTCATCGAACTCTCAGCAAGAACTGAAATAAGCATATTTCCCAAAATATCCACCTACTCCCTTATGACAGTCGAAAGCCACAGCTATGCTTCCAGCGTCAGTTAACCTTAATGCTCACACCTAATATTGAGCTGTACTTAACACTAACATGCTGCTTTCAATGCAGCAGAGGCCAGGCTGTAACTTCTGATTCATCAGAGATATATAATCTACAGTACGTGGTATCATATAACAACATTCCTGTTAGTGCAGAAAACGACTGTCCTCTATGCAAAAGTCTGCTATAGCGGTGAGAGTGGTGCTCAGCCAGCGCGCACTAACCCCAGCCATAGACTAGAAAAAAAAGTCTTGCATGAGATGATTGCAGTTCACACAGCACTCTACGTGAAGTAACAGTCAGAAATGGGCTCAACATTCACCCTGTAATTGAGCATTTACCCATAATTCCATGCAGAAGTCCCTCTTTTTTTTCCAACTGATGCTACTACTTTGAATGAACTTGCAGAGTCTGGGCCAGAGCTGGAGGCGACTGTAGTCACAGTAGTCATTTGGCTGTCTGTACACGTACGTCCATGGTAGACTCTAGCTGTCCTGACTGTGACTGAGGATTTGTGGGGTTGACAAAGGAGTGCTCTCATATTGAGAGTTGACTCCATTTGATTCTTTGAGATTTAACAAACCAGAAAGCTTCATATAAAACCCACATAGCAGTCAAGCCATAAAACAAGACTGATACTGTACCTCAGGCGTAAGTCCACTGACTCCTGCCTGTCATAGACCTACACTTGGCAAATTATGAAGAAAATGGCTTCACAAACCTTTTGCATTAATTCATCGCACTGTCATAGAATAAAAAGGAATTGGCTTGGAAGTATACAAGTTCCTTTTCTGTTCTAGGTTAGTTAACCAATTCCCTTTTTCTTGGTACCTTGTGTGTTGTACTCTTTATTATTTTTAATTATTGCTTTGGAAACCTAGTGTAGTTGAGCACTTAAAGATTTTATTACCTGACAGAAGGTGATTCTGCATCAGAAATTCATTTTTAATATCTGAATGAGCACATGTGATTTTGAAAACTATTCAGATAAACAGTGTTACAGTTTGGTGCTGAACTTGATAACAGCCATTTAGAATTTAAAGATGTGCTGTACAGAGAGTGATTTTATTTGAGATACTGTACAATTTTCCTCCTTATACCCTGTAATTTGTCTGAAGAAGGTGGGCTTACAATGGGCTTCTACTTAAAAAAGGTCTGTGCCAAAACCTGCAATTGAAAATAATTAACAAACATCATAATGGCCTGGAACAAAGTTCAACAGCAAGTAATAGCGGTCTTATCGCAAAATGTCCAGTCAGACAGTGAGTCAAAGGAGACATTATTGAAAAATGCAAAAAACAAATAAATGCCCTTTGGCACCTTAAATAAGGTGGAAGAACAATGGGCCTCCAGGCTCTGAGCAATAGGATCAAGTTAGAGAGGGTGACAGAGAGGATTTGGCTTTGTTAGAGTTCAGTGCAGCAAAAGCTCAGAAACCTGCAAGTAGGAACACATGGACAAGGCCAGGCAGAAGCTCTGTTACTGGCTACAGCTCAGAGGCCTTATTAGTTACTTTCCAAGCTCTGTCTGATCTTAACACTGTACATAAACCTACTTATGCAAAGATGCATCTACCAATGTGAGGTTAATTAATTTCTTTCTGACCGTCTCTAGAGAAGCGACTCAATTATAGACAACAGTCCTATAGCTTCATTAGCATCAGTACAGGACATGTTTCAAATAACAGCCACATTAGTTGACCCCTCCTGAGGGTCTGTGCTGCTTTTTAAATAACATATGATCTTTCTACCGCCAAACAGCTACAGTTTCCATTCATAAATGCTTCTCCATGGGAGACCTGTTAGGTTTTGTGTAAAACAGCCACAGTCTTCTCATTAACAGTAAGACAATCAAGTGATTGCCTTCTCCAGCAACAGATTGGATTGTTTCAGATTCTGTTGGCTGGAGAACTTGACAGCAACTGGTTTCTTTTCTGCTAAATATCCTGTCCTCCAATAAGAAAACATAGCTTCAAGTACAGTGAAAGGATACCTGAATGCAACTGAAACACCATAAACTCCTCCCTAACCACCAGTCTGAACTCTGAGAGACTGTCCACAAAAAATATATTATAGATTGCGGCAGCTGGAATCCAAGGCAAACAGCAGAAAATTACCAGTTCTATTTAAATACTGTCCTGCGAGCTTCAGCTTCATTCCACTCACAGAAAGTCTCTCTGAATGTGCACGTTGCTGCCTAAAACTCTGATACCATTTATTCATCTCTCAATCAAAACTTGACTTTCCCTGCATTTTATATGTTCAGCACATGTATAAAAGAGTGAGAACAGAACCAAGTGTCACATTATTGTGATGGGGAAAATGTGTTTTTAAATCACAGTGACAACAGACTGGCACGGGTCTTATCTAACTGGTTTCCTTAGGCAAACAGCAGGACTTCCCTCCTTACATCTCATTCAAAACACCCTGAAAACTGTGATATTCTGTACAATTCTCCTCTCATCCATCTCTGTCTTGTCCAGAAAAAGCCACTTAAAGCTTCCTCACTATGTAAATAATTTAATTGTTACATTATGCTTGTCTTACAAAGAATAGGTTATAAACTGCTATTACAGACTCATTATCTAACTGCTATAAAATAAAGAAAAATCAATCAATCATGCTTTTTAATGCACAAGGACCAAGGTCAGTGCTCCTGTACAGTTTTATGTGAATTTACAACAGGAGGTGCCTATTAAAGGATAAGGCCAATCATAACAGGAGATGCCTATTAAAGGATAAGGCCAATCATATTAACAGTATTTTCAACAGTCCCCATACAGTGACTAAAACCTATGGTGATTTGCCTCTAGTCACAGTTAACGTTCATCAGTGTGCCAGTCAGCTGTGCCATAGACCTCTGGTGTTGTTCGAAAACAATTAAAAGCATATTAGTGAAACACACCGCTGCAGTGGGTGACATATTTCTTTACTAGCAATACCCCAGACCTGAGTGTAATGAACTAGTGGGATGTAAATAAAGTGAGAGCTTGCACAAGATCTCACCAATGCACAGATGACTCTGATTTGTGCCAACATCAGGAAATCATGGCCACTTGGAGCCTTTGGAGCTACTCAGTTGGATCTGGGGTTTCAAAATAAAAAAAAGCATAAAAGTAATATACCCCCACCCCTAATATGTGTGTGTGTGTGTGTGTGTGTGTGTGTGTGTATACTGTATATATATAAATGCACATAAAGTCTTATTCTGCTGACTGAGATTTAATACTAGCTAAATTAGTGGTAATGTAGAACACAACAGCTACAGCAGTGAAGCTACTAGTATCAACAATTACTGCTGTTTTTATATGTTTTCACTTGTTTCTTTGTAGCTCTTCTTCCTTTCTTGTTTGTTATTAATGACCATTTCATATACAGTTTAACAGTCAAAGGAAGAATTCAGACTATTTCATAAACTCTGCATTTTCTTCTCTCAAACTGGTCATGAGGTCTATTTGGGAACTGAAACATCCCCTAATTTGATTATTTCCACTGCTCAATCAGCAGTCTAACAGGCTTTTATGTTTGTGACAAAGGCCTCTTAAACATTGTGTTCCTATTTTTCATTGATTCTTACTACTGAAAGCAAGACAGGTTCAATGTCAGAAGAAGACGGCTACAGTGAAGAGTTAATGAAAGGTCAAATCAGGCTATTCTGTAGTTGCAGAAGCTGCAACGTGTCCACAGTGTAACCAGGCTGCTTTGTGGAGTCGCCAGATTTTCTTCTCCCTCCCTCACTCCCTGTCTCTAACATCATGAGATGGCCATGCCTCTTTTGGAAAAGGTGGATTTTTAACACAGTTGTTGTACATGCATTTGAGTGCTTTGTTCAGTGTGCTTTTGGATTATTGTTCTCCTTGAATGGATTGATGGATGCACTATTAATGGCATGTTTTATTTGTTGTAAAGTTTAAGGATAGTAGAGGAAGGGTTCTGATGCTTAACAATAAGAGGAAATATATATATTAACATTTTGTAATGGGTTTGGATTTGCAGTTACACTTTCCTTAAAGACATTAAAACTGTAGGAAGTCAATGCACCATGTGTGTTACATTATGTTTAAACAATATATTTGTTCTGTGCATACACTGTAGTTGTCTGTGGGTACTTAGGTGTACAAGGCAAAAATAAAAACAAAAATTAATTTCAGTTTTAATATCTATACTAACATAAAGATGCCCCCTCAAGAATACATGTAAGAAGCTGAAGTAGAAACACTAGAACTTCAAATGATATTATCAGTATTTAATCTCCATCTGTGCATAAAACGCGCCCTTCACTTTAACTAATTGTACATCATCAGACATTATACTGAACAATTTCCTTCTTTTTTAAAAATAAACCACTAAATAAAGTATAAACTTTGAATTAAATAACTCCATGCACAACTGAGGACCTAATGAATGCTAAGCTGAAAATGAAATCATCCAGTGTCCAAACGCTCAAAAGTCAGCTCAGCGACAGTGTCTCCTGTTGGTGGCCGAAAAGACAAAACGCCCCAACAAAGGTGTCAATTAAGAAAATCCATGGACACTCAGAGGGTGAGAAAGCCCGTCTGAACTGTGAGGAGTCGGCGCGTTAAATGACGGCGGTCCTCATCATCCACGTTTGAGCTGAAACGTGAACTTGTTTGACATGTTTTAAGACAGCCCCCTCTTTCTGATGAAGGAGGGCCTCCACGTCTTGAACATGTTCAACTTATCTGGTGCGCACAGGACCTCCCCAAAAGTTTTGGCATATAAAAGCCAAGCTAACTCATTTGTTTAGGCAGTAGGGAGTTTCTGCTAGGGTCTGGATTGGAGTTACACACAGACCGGACCCTGCCGTGTATGAGTGGTGTCTGAGGAGAAAAAGAGGATTTCCCCTGCCGCAAAGAATCTACATGTCTAATATTTAGACATGTTCAGCTTTGTGGATATTCGGTTAGCGCTCTTGCTCAGCGCAGCAGTGCTTCTGGCCAGGGCTCAACAAGGTGAAGTTTATAGTAAGTATCACTTTCAAACAATGATATGAGTTGGTTTGGGACTGTGACATCCTCGGGATGTGGATAGCCCACAAGGATGCTGAGCAGTTTGCTGGAACTGATCGTCCTCTGCTGGAAAGCTGACTCCATTGGGCAGAGATGGGGAAAGTTGTTAGACAGTGAGGCGTTTTGATGGGTTTTCGGAGCGAATAGGGATTTATAGACTGGATTTTTTCTGTGTTGTTTGCTGCGCCCCCTGACCTGCAGAAACATGCTGAATACGCATCCCGCTGGAGCGCAAAGCTAATGGGAGCAGCTGCAAGATCTCTGATGCGCAATGACAGGATACTGAGTAGAAGCAGTGCACAAGCATTGAGAAATTTGAAAATGGAAATAAATTTAGTGGAACCTTATTATATTTGTTTAGGAAAGCAGCTTTATCCAGTTTTAGAAACGCATCATCCCAAATCACAGATAATGTGCCAAAGTCTGTAACTGCAGCACTCGAAGTTATTGTCAATAATTTTACAATAAACGCATCATAAGTGAGCAGACAGAAGTTTGTTGGGGATAAATAGGGATACACGTTTGCAGTAAAGTTTAGTAAGAAGTTAGCTCTCCACATTTTTATCCAGTTTGTGTAAAATTTAACTTTATTTGCTGAAAGAAGGACAGTGGAAAAACCTGAGTCTGGCGTCGACAGAAAAATAGTCTAGACATCTATTAATCACCATAAAGAGGAGGGTGCGGACGGTCTCGTCCTGCAGGTGAATAGCGCCGCTCTGTGGCAAATAGGACTATTGGAACTGTGCACCACCTTCCAAACCTTGGTCCACCCACCTCCAAAGCGCCACCACGCCTCCTGCAGCTTTAAATGTGATTAGGCTGAGAGCCATTTTCCATTAATAGTCTTTGAGTGGAAATTCTTTTAACTACATAAGATAAGAAATAGGGTGCGTTATTGTCCCCTTGGGGAAATTACACCTGAGCAGTAATGTTGGACAGAAAGGTTGGATGGAACTTGTGATCTTGATCTACATTTATTGGATAGCCTACTGCATGTAGCCTACACTGCCCAAATAACAGACAATGATGGTAATTGAAAGCTGACAAATCACTCACCAAACACCTGATTTTCTAAGACCGTAAGTCATTGAGTGTCTACAGTATTTCCATGACTTTGGTACATCCAGAACCAGCCTAGATGTGATGTGGAAGTCAATGATTACAGAACAGAAAGGTCAAAGGCTGCTACACGGAAAAATAAAACTACCCTAATGGGCCTGAGCTACATGTTAGAGGTCAGAACTGACTAACGTTGTCTTGAAACTGCAAAAACAATATAAAAACGGGGAAACAGATGAAGGTCTAGGTCGCACTTCCTCCTTCTGTGTTATGAATATGAAGTTGTTTTGCCACCAGAATCAGGTGTCTCGTCTGGTCTGGGTCTACTGGGCACATCTGACTCCCATATGATGCACACCTGTGCAGGTGTAGTCAAGATTAACCTCGGTTTTACCTGCGCACTGTAGGCCTACATCTAATCCAATGCTGATGCCAAATCACTTTTTTAGCAGACAAAATTCTAATGTAGATGTCAGAATTTTTACTGTTAATATTCCCAAACTCACCTTGGGTTTTTCCTCTCTCACACACAGACGAAGGGTGCAAATCAGGTGACCAGCTCTACAGCGACAAAGATGTATGGAAACCATCGCCCTGCAAGATCTGCGTCTGTGAGAATGGAGAGCCCTTATGCGACGACGTGATATGTGAGGACACATCCGAATGCGCTGATCCCATCATCCCCCCGGGAGAGTGTTGCCCTATCTGCCCTGACGATTACGATGGTACTCCATCTTGACTCTTCGTCTCTGTGGTTAATTAGCTTTGTGGCGCCACCTAGCGCCTCCCACCTCATCTCTGACCATATGGCTCTCTGGCTACATATGGACTTGCGCCCTAATCCTACCTGCTTACCTGAGGATTTTCACTCAGGAAAAAAAAAACCGCTTTGGATTTATCCTTTTTCAGCTCATTTTCAATAGTTGTTCTTTTAAAACGGATTACATTTGTCCTTTGGCAAAGTTTGCCAATGAATCTATAATTTTCCAACATGTGTACCTGTGCAGTGACAGGCCTACTGCAGGGTGCAGCAGGGCCTACACTCATCATCTACCAAAACATCATTTCAGTTTCTAATCTTTTTGCACTATACGCTTTACATTACTTTTGGTCCAGTAATCAGGTGAAAACCTATGTTATGCTTTAATCAGCCCTGACTCTCAGCTTTGACCTACTGCTATAGATAGCTTCAACTTTCAACCCAGTATTTTCAGATCTACGTTATTTTGTAAGTTATGAAAGTGACTCTCATACAGTGTCAAGAGACGCTGACATTTTTTTTCCCATTTGGTTTTGTAGGACCCCAGGTTCCAGGAGACTTTGAGGTATTTTGTCCTTTTAACTCCGACTGATACTACAAATTATGTGTAAATAGGCTCTGAGGTCTGAACCTCATAATGATCTCTATCTGAACATGCTGGCATGTCCCAGTGTAGATTGTCATTATATATGTTTATATATTGTTTCTACAGTCTGGATAAAACCTTGCAGGGTAGTTAACTCCCTTTTTGTGTCTCTCCACAGCCAGAAAAGGGAGACGTTGGCCCCAAGGGAGACAGGGTAGGTTTCTATTCACATAAACTCTCAGCATCCCTTTCTGTTGTCCAATGCAAATTACATATATTTGCTACAAGGACAAACCGATTGTGAATAAGTATAATGTTTAAGCAACCTTGCTTTTATATATGTTTTTGAAATGATCATTTTCTGTCACAGACAAGTTAGAAGCATTTGCCCCAATAATGACAAGCTTGTGTTTCTATGCTGTGTTGGTTGTTGTGTGGTTTTTGTTACAAACTGCATTGGCTTCTTCAGCTTCTTTAACATTGCAGTACCTCTATGCTGCATTGCACATTGTTGATTATATTAAAATCATAGTTCTTTAAAAAGGATAGTTGTTGCTTTTTTCCCTCCAGTTACTGACTAAAAACTGTAAATATTGATGTAGCTGCTATGATGTAACTGCTGCTAATAACCTTTGATAATTAGGTCACAAGGTCTACAGGTCATTGAAAGTTCAAAGGTCATATAACAAAATTTTAATTAATTAAAAATGAAGTAATGTTACATCAGTAACAAGTGACAGTAACAAGAAACATATAAATTCAAATTTAAAATAATTATTTTTGCTAACTTTTATGTTTGAAACAATAAACTCCCTCATATTTTTAAAGATATCATAAGTAAGACAATAAATATTATCTTCCAGTCAGTTTCTATTTGTTTTCAACTTTGAGAATTTCGAACCTGATTTCTGAGAAGGAATGTACTCTGATCTACACTGGTTGTGCTATAAGATATAATTCTTTTTCCATGGCAAATTAAAATGAGTTTTATGAAAAATAGCAAAGGCTACTGCTAACAGCCACTGTGTATGAACTTTTCCACAGGGTCCTCCTGGTCCTCCTGGAAACGATGGACTCGATGGAGAGCCTGGTCTCCCTGGACCACCTGGCCCTCCTGGCCCCCCTGGCCTTGGCGGAGTAAGTATCACCATGTCAGAACAAGCCAGGGATTAAGTTTGTATACCAGTCAAAAAAGATGCATCTTAAAAACATATAGGAGCCAAAGTTAGGTTTAATCCAACCTCTTAAAGACTGGTATAATTTCTGTAACTGAGCATCAGTTCAGTGAACTATCCTTTATTTTGCACAGACTTGAGCAGAAAGATTAGCAGGCATGAAACAACTACATGTTTTTGCAGCATTGGGAGTGCAGACAGCTCCCTGGTCCTCAGGTTTAGGTCTGGGGAGCATGCAGGATAGCAAAGTGGTGATCTGACCAGTTTATTCAGTCAAATATTTAAAACATTGTAACAGGTTAGAATATAAGTCAGTATCCGTGCTACAGGATCTAGCAGGAGTCTTTATACTACAGGATGTGATTCAGAGTTGACACTAATAACAATTCACTGCAACAGTACAAAGTAACCGTGGGGGAAAAAAACACTTCAGGTGATGTTTTTGTGCCACATTAATTTGAGAACAGTACTCGTAAATATTGTTTTTCAAAGCTTTGTGACTAATTCTTCACCTTCTCTCTGTACAGAACTACTCTCCTCAGATGAGCTTTGCTGACCCCTCTAAAGGTGTAGGCCCACCTATCCCTGGCCCAATGGTATGAAGGCTGTGCTTTCTCTAAACATGTATTTACTGTTAAATATGCAGCAATAAAGCCACAGTATAGAAGTTTACATTATTTTCTGGAGTAAACATTTGAAATGCAGGCTAATGCTGGTTCATATTACTAGTCACATGTATATGCAGCTCCTATATTTATTGAACTTAATGTTTTCACAAAATGATACAATCTAAGTGCTATTTTAAAATCTTCATCAACAGGGTCCTATGGGTCCTCGTGGTCCTCCTGGACCCTCTGGCTCCTCTGTAAGTATTCTCTTATCAACTACATGACAATTAAGCTATTCATTTTGACAGCATGCTTAAAATATTTTATAATAGCTGAAACAAGATTTTGCCTTGAATTTGGCTAATTGTCTTCACTCAGTGTTTCTTGTACCAGTTATACACTAGGAGACTATATCTAAGATAAATGCATAAACATAAAAAAGAAAGATATTGTAGTGATCCATTTTTCATGCATTTCAGGGCCCTCAGGGTTTCACTGGACCCCCTGGAGAGCCTGGTGAGCCCGGAGCATCTGTGAGTATATAAAATGTTCTATTACATAAAAGTTTCTCTTGGTTTGTCTATAGGTTTGAGGAAAAATATCAGCTTTATCCTCATTAATGAGGCACAACACTGTATTCCTGTTCTTCTTACCAATCTGCAGGATTGTTCTTAATCTATAAAATGCTATTTATTCTGTTAATATTCAAGTTTGTTATCTGTAGCACATTTTCCCACATTGTTCCCTGCACTTTCTGCTCCACTTCCTGTTGTTATTACTGACCCACTGACACACATCAACACACACTATGTTTTGTAGGTGATAAGTTCCCTCAACCCCCCCCCCCCCCCCCCCGGGGGGAGTTCACCTCTTGTTTTGGGTGTGTC